AGAAATCGAATCGGTCCACTGTGTGTACTGCCGTGGGGTGGTCAGGGTTGGGGCAAAACCCAGGCATACTGGGACTTAAAATCCAGGACCTTGAATACTCTTGAAAAGTTACTATAATCTAGTCCCACAGACACACACAGATGGCCAAGTGCTTGCAAAAGCAGAGTAACACAGCAGGACAAATTAATGCTGTTACAAAGTATAACCAGGGAAACTGGCAGGCCAAAGGAACCTGAGAAACCCAAACTCACCTGCATGGACAATATCCAAAAGGGCACAGTGAGCGCTGTTTGCGGGCGAGTGTGAGAGGGGCCGAGGAGAGGCACGACGGGGAGTAAGGAAAGGAATGGCCTCTGCAAAACTCCGGGCAGGGTTCATGCCCCTGGGGACAGCTCCTAAACACACAGGGACACACACCAGCAGTGCTTGCAGAGGAAGTCTTTTTAGAAAAACTTTTTTTTTTGGTGCCAGGAAATCAAGAGAAAACTTGTAGGTGAGGAAAGAGAAGGTAGGCAAGTGCACAGGGCCTGTATGGAATGTAAGGCCTGCTTGCTGCTTTTTGACCAAATCTATCTGTGAAAAGGTGCATACTCAAGGGAGAGGACACAAATGCCCACCACAGTACCTTTCCTCAATGGGTTCAACTGACTGGGGGTTGGAAGTTAACTGGGCAGTTTCTATGAAACTGTCAGGGTTGGGTAGGCCCAGCAAGAGCTGCTCAAGGAAGCCAAGCTCCTGACTGGAGGTCAAAAGAGAGGTTACTACTTTACTATCAGAAACATGCCTTGGTCTCTCCAGGAATTAGTGCACATCTGCCACCATCCACAGGCTGGGAGACAGGGTAAGGGGTGAGTGCATTGTCTCAACCTCCAAGGCAGGGAGCCAGCTGCTGGGTGACAGTATCACTACTCTGATAGTTCTTGAGAGAACTTTTAATATGAGCAAAAAAAAAAAGAAAGAAAAAAGAAAACTGTAACCAAAATTAATCATATTAAAAGTTATCTCAGGTTGTAACCAATCCCTGTACTCATTTCCTGTTTTAAGTCATACACAGAGTGGTTCTGGTGACCCCCCTGCACAGCCTGCATCCCGGGCTCCTCTTCTCCTCTTTTAGGATTAGAGATTCTTCAACTGTCTCAGCTCAAACACTTCATTTTCCATTTGCTTCTCGTCCATAAACACCTATCCATGGTGTATCTGCTACGTACCAGACCACAGATGAATGTCACATTGTCCTGGCTCTTTGGAGTCATGATGGGGAGAAAGACGAAGTCCATAGAGCCATCCAATGTAACAGCAGGGATGGAAGGAATCCAGGAAGACTTCTCAGAGGAGGTGGTGCCTAAATTAAGGGTTGAAGGGCATGTAGGAAAGGGAATTCTAGGCCAAAGGTCAGTTTGAGCCTGAAGGAGAAATAGCCTGATTGGAGGTGGGCACTGGGGATTTGGACTGGGCCCTGTTGAAGGTTCCAGAATGGAAGTGGCTGGGACTGAGGCAAATTACAGGAGTAGGGCCCAAGCCCCAGAGACCATTAGTCTATGCTATGGAGCTCAACATCCTGGTCAGCATCAGAAGCCAAAGAACGGTTTCCATGGAAATGTGTCCAGGTTTGGCTTTTTAACATGCTCGTCTATTTGTCAGTTTGAGCAGTGCATTTGCTATCCCAGTAATGGCAAAGATGGTGAGGGGCTTTGCTTGGGCAACTGGATGGGAGGAATGCTGGTTTGAGAGTATTTCAGATGCGAAATTAGAGGTTTGTAGATTAATGATTTACATGGGATGAAAGGGACAGGAGCCCAGGGTGCAGGCCATGCAGGTGGATCACCAGAACCACTCTGTGTATGACTTTTAAAACAGGAAATGAGTGGAGGGATTGGTTACAACCTGATGGAAGAAACTCCGAGATGCCAGCTAGAAGTGGGTACCTGAGACTAGCAACAGCAGGGAACTGCCAGCACCTCTAGAGTGGAGGGACAGAGGCTGGAGACTGTGTTACAAGAGTCCAAGGAGGGGACCTAGAGGAGCTGGAACCTCTGCCGACTCCAAAGAAAGAGATGGGGTGAGAGGGAGGCCCTTTCATCTGCCCTCCAGTCTTGACAGTATTGCCTGTGGCTGGACCCACCTGGAAACCAGTTTGCAAGAAGCCTCGTAAATCCAACTGTGACAGCCCTGCTGGGACACAGAAACAGCCACGAAGGGACAGGATTTGGTCTGAGTACTGACAAACCAGAAGTGGGCAACAGGACAGAAAGAGAGGCACCCTTTGGGAAGATAGGGCCACACTGCCCATCTCTCAACATGGTAAGTTTGAGGTGCCCAGCAGACATTCAGGGTGAGTTGTCCAGCCAGCAGGCAGTTCCTGGACTTTTGATTTCAGAGACACGGCCTGGGGAGGGAAGACACTCTGCCTGCAGATAATGGTTAACAGTAGGTATAGCAAAGGATGTGATCAAGGGTAGCTGTTTGACTTAAAAGAAGCATTCATATTATTTTCCAAAAATTTGACATCATTTTATACTCCCAGCAGCAGCATGGAGGTTCCCAGTTGCTCCTCACTCTCCAATATTTAGGATTTTTTTGCCATGCTGGTGGGTGTAAAAGGTGCCTCAGTGTGATTTTCATTTGCATTTCTCTGGTGACCTTTGAGGTTGGGCACCTTAGGAGACTTTTACACGGCTCACCTAAACACAAGATATGGAGAAGATTCTGAGGGCCTCCACAAGGGAATGTGAAAGAGAAGGATGTGCATGTAGGCAGACAAAGGCTCATGCCAACTTTTGGGTCTCAGATTACATTTTTAAGTTATGCAGGCCTTTTAGGCAACTCCTTCATCATCTCATAAGAGTGAACTTGGAGCCTGGCAGAACTGGGTTCAAACCGTCACTTCACCACATCCCTGATGGGATCATGCATACTCAGTTTTCTCACCTGTAAAATGGGTGTGATGTTACCTTTTTCCAGGGTTGCTGTAAGGATTAGTGGCCACCTTAACATGTGGCACTAAACATGAGCTCAATAATGGCAAATGTTGTTGACTGTTATTAAAAGAACCAAAGATATGCTATGGATCATCTTTTTTTCCCAGATAAGGAAATCTAGGTCTGGATAAATTAAGTATCCAAAGCAAGCTGCTAATTATGGCAAGTCATCTTATACATTATATAAGGACTGGAAGGTGAGAGTTGCCTCTGAATCGAAGCCTCATGGCACAGAGCACTCTGGTCAGGACACAAAAAGTGGTCTGGAGACAAGAATAAACCTCAAGCCGGGTAAGGTGCTGCACACCTGCAATCCCAGCACTCAGGAACCTGAGGTAGGAAGAGCACTGCAAGTTTGAGCCAGGGCCACAAAGTGAGCTCAAGGCCAGCCTGAAATGCCTCATGAAACCCTGTCTCGAAAAGACAAAAAAGTAAATAAAAATAAAATGAAAGAATAAACCTCAAACTAAATCTCTTAATGGAATGTTCTTATAGATAGGGTTTTATTTTTGTCTGCTTTTTAAAAAAACACTAGCCAGGCATGGTGGTGCACACCTGTAATTCCAGCAGTTGGGAGGCTGAGACAGGAGGATCACCCTGAGTTCGAGGCCAACCTGGGCTACACAGTGAGTCCAGGCCAGCCTGTACTACATGGTGAGACCCTGTTTCAAAAAAAAAAAAAAAAAACAACTGGCACCCAATAGCAGACACAAGGTGAATCTTGTTTTAGTTACACCTGTTCTCTGTCCATCCTCACCCTTGATTTTCACAACTATGGGGAGGGTATGGAAGCACCTTTTGGTTGTCTACCAAAGAAACCTGACTGCCACCATCCTGATCAGAGACCCCTCTGAACCGCCCCCACCCAGCCAGCTGCACCTGGGAACTCACATCATTATAAGCCCTGCTACTGATAGTAGCCACTACTCCCTGTGCTTTCCCAAGCCTCGTCCTTGAGCAACCATTACACCAGTGCTCTCTCAGGCTTTATTCTTGGCAGGTAGCCACAAACCCCTTTTACTGAACTTCCCCCACCCCGCGACCCTATAAAATACCCCACAGGCGGTACCAGAGTGGCTGGTCTGGTCTCTAGCGCCAGAGCGACCCCTCTCAGGTCTGTTTTGAAATAAACCTGTCCTGTTGAGGTTGTACCTGTTTTCTTCTTTTCCTAACACCTGTGATCTCACCCTACTCCTGCTCACCTTCCTACTTATCTGTCAAGACGGCGGATAGGACGGTGTGCAAGTTCTATGTTTCGGAAAAAATCACTTATTCTCACCCCGTGCTTCCCAGTCAGGCCAGGAAACACCTGCCCTTGGGGCATGAGGCCGTGGGGAAGCCTATGAAGCTGCTTCAGGTCAAGGGAATTTTATTGCAAAGCCATACGTTTGCAGATATTCAACCTCTCAACGAAGACCTTCACGTAGAGTCGTGTAGGACGAAGCTTTTGGAAGGAGCAAGTGGAGCTGAAGAGATGCACAGAGGCCTCTGAGGATTTCAAAGGTCGAAAGCTAAGTGTCTGATCCTTTCCTCCCAAGACCCACCTCCCCGGAACCCCCAGGCTTCCACTGAGCGGGCTGCCTCACCACCCGTGAATGACACAGATCTCAGAGATGAACCCGGCGCCGCGCGCAAGCGTCCGAGATAGTGGCGGGAGACCCCTTTCAGTCTCCATGCTGTGACGGGGCCGGGGCGCACCCTCACGGGAGGGAAGGAGGAGCCTCTTACACACAGCGCTTCCGCAGGAAGCAAGGCGCGCAGCCGCCCGGGAAGTGAGGCTTCTCAAAGTGCTCCGCTGGAACGCCCAGAACTTCGGCCCATGGGGCGGAGCATTCTGCGCGCTGGCGTCATCGCGTAGGCTGCCGGGGCCTCGGGACACGGAGGTGACCTAAGCGGGCGTAAAGCGGAGATGGGAGGATCTAGAGAGCAGGCCTAAAATAGCTCCGCCTCTTAAAGCTGTCTGGACCTCTCCGTGTTGGCTCAGTGTAGCCGTAGGATGCGGCTCCTTTAAGTGTCGCTGTGACACGTGTGTGAGGCGGCGGAGGCCCGGATGGTGCAAGTGAGGGCCGGGGCCGAAGAGACGCCAGCACTGCGCTGGCCGCCGCTAGCAGCCGAGGGCCCGCCGAGGGTATCCTGGGGCCGGGTGGCTTGACACTGGGGCTTCCGCCGGGCCTGGGATGCTTGCGGGGAGGAGTGGGCGCGCGTCCTCGGGGCTCGGAGGGAATCCCAGGAAAGGCAAAGGGATACGTCGTTCTCGAGCAGCTCGCGGGACTCCTGGGAGGGTCCGAGGCTGCGCCGTCCATGCAGCTATCTGGGGAGCCTCCTGGGAGGGCTGGGCGCGCACTACTCACGAGGGGCTCGGGCGGTACCCCAGAAGAGTCCGAAGCTGCGCCATCCGCACGGGAATCTGGGCTGCCCCGGAGCAGGAGGCCGCGCCACCCGCTCAGGAGTCTGGGGTCGCGTTGTCGACCCAGGGAGGTGGACTCCGGAGAAACTCGGAGATGTGCTGTCCGTGCGGTAGTTGGAGGTGTTTATGAGAAGAACCCTGGGCCGCGCGGTCCTCTCAGGGATTTGGGGTGACCCAGGGGTGCCGCGGACTCCATGCCCCCTTCGCAGCCCGACGGGGATGGAGGGCAGAGCTCTCCCCAGGCAGGAGCGCAGGGCAGGGGAGGAGACAGCAGCCGGGGTCCGCGTTGGGCAACTCTTTGCCCTCAAAAGCAAATTGGATTTAACTTTGGAATGGTCTGAGTCAAATTCAGGGAGAGAGCGTTTGCTACCTAGTCTGCTACCTAGCGGAGATGCGTCTCGTCTCACTTAGATCTGGAGAAGGGGCTCTTCCACGTGTTCATGGTTGCAGAAGGCTGTACAGAGCACCGGCAGGGCATATGAGTTTTAAGATGCCAGTTGCTTGTGTTGGGTTATGTGGCTTGTCCCCTGGGATCCCTGGTGCTAGGATAGCATCCCAAGACAGAGGAGGGGGGAAGTACCCCAGCGCCCCACAGTTCGGTTTCTGCAATGGATGCCCAGAGGCAGGCGCCAAGGAGAGGTGCGTGTTGTCCTGTCCCTGCCCTATTCAGGATGCCTTGCTCTGCAGAGCCCTGGAGGCCCCCTCAAAGAGGCCCCAAGGAGCCTCAGCCCTTCTGGCTTGGGCTCCCCTTTTCCAACACGTGTGGACTCTGTCTTGAGTACGGTTTAACTTGGAAAAGTGAATTTAAGCATTTGGGGACTGACTTTAAATCATTTCTGGTTTTAAGGAAGCTGTGCGTGAATACTTTGGGAAGTGTAAAAATACTTTAAGTGTAAGCTATTCTGTGTCGTTAAGAGAAATCTGGACTGGATAAAGCATCCTTCCTGAGTGAAGCGTTTGTGTTAGTATGTGTGCAAATCAGAGGGTCTGCTGATGATTACAAGAACATTTTTGTTGGTTCTTACATTTCAGAGAAATAATGATTTTTAGGCCATCACTTAAGATTCCAGATGGAGTTGGTAGACATTGATCTTTCTGTCACAACTGGAAAAATTATGTGTGTTCCAGATCTCTGACTCTGCATTAGAGTGGGTTAAGTTATTTAACTCAGATGAAACAGTTAAATCTCCCACGTTTCGTTTGTCTTCTTGGGAAGTGGCACCTGAACATGAGTACTGGACTGTGTTGGTCGTTCTCACCTGTCCAGTGTGAGATGTGAGTCCTGACCAAAAAAGCCAGTGACATTATGGGAAGGTTTTTAGACAACTGGAGGTGTGTCTTTTATCCTGAAGTCGTTCCATTATACTTTGGGGGCGGGTATTGATGTTCTTTTTTTCTTTTTTCTTTTTTTTTTTTTTTTGGTTTTTTTCTGGTACCAGGAATCAAACTCATGACTTTGCGCTTGCCAGACAGGTGCTGTGCCGCTGAGCTAAATTCCCAGCCCCACTGATGTTCTTATTTATGGATGATGTGAAAGACTTGAGGCTTGGTGCAAGGTCACCTGGGCTGAGGAGGTAAAAGCCAAGCAGTGGGCCATTGTGCACGCTTTGCTGTCCTCTTTGTATTGTATGTGTATGTTTTTACTATGAAAGTTTATCTCTTACTATTTGGAAGTAAGATTTAGACTGTAGTTGTCTGATAGTTGCAGGGAGAGTTTTGTTTGCTGACCTTTCTACTAGCGTTAGGGTCAAGAGGTAAAACAGATAACAGTGTTTTCGTGTCACATACATTGCACTAGTTTGTGTCTCATTTTCACAGTTCTCTGCACTTGGACTAAAGTCACTGCTGGAGATACTCCTTTAACCTTACTGGCGATTTTTTCCATGTAGAAGGTCACAGTTCCTGCACCACACCCCTGAGATGAGACTTCAAGAACAGCTGCAAGAGTTAGCCTGGGTGTTACTCTCACTGCTCCTCCCACAGGTGCACCACCCGTTCCGGACACTGCACTTAGCAGCATTGGTGATTGAGCAGGCCAGAGTCCAGGAGCAGGTGAATTCCAGGGTCCAGAGGAGACCTGCCGGAGCAGATCAGTTCCTTAAGAACCTGATTCCTTGCTTCAGGGGGAACAGCAGGCCATATCTGCACGCCCCAGGTAAGGCTGGGAGGTTTCTGTGGTCTTATCTCCTTTGAGTTATCAGCACATGATCTGCAGTGATTGTTCCACTGGGCTGTGTTAGCTAATCTCATTGGAAAAAGCTTTGTGCAGGTGTGCATGTGCATGTGTACGTATGGTTCTGGGGTTCAACCCAAGCCTTACACCTGCTAGCAAGCACTCTGCCTCTCCCACTGAGCAACATTCTCAGCCCTTTTCATTTTATTTTGAAACAAGGTCTGCGTAGTTGCTCACACTGGCCTCAAACTTGCCATCTTCTTCCTCAGCCCAGTAAGCAACTGGGATTACAGGCATGCATTACCATGCCTGGCTTGAAAAAGGCTTTTTGATTTCCTCGCATCGGAGAACTTGTGCTTACTTTATTAAAAAATGAATTTCTTATATTTTTATCCCTAGGGAAATTTTTGTAGAAAAAGATATTTAATCTGTGTATAGAGTTAGATGACCCATGATGATAAATTTGAATGACTTAATAAGCTAGTGGAAGACATTCTAGAGTAGAGTTTTGGGATATATCTGACTAGCTCATTCTGCAGGGCAGGCTGGGTTCTGGTTTTCAGAGTCCGTGTTTGTCTGATATGAGTGAGTAATTTCAGGGACATTTTCTAATTGTGACTCACATAGTCTAAGCTTTGGCTAACATGGTTGAGGTAGAGGGTGAGGAGGGAAAATGGTGGCAGCAGGTGTAGTAGTCAGAGGTGATGAGAGATTCTTCCCTTTGTTACAGTTTGTAAGTAGCTGTGCTAGAAGTGTCAGTCCTCTGTGAAGGTGACTAATTTCTGTTACCACCTTTCAGCTAGCTGGATTTTTTTTATTTGTTTGTTTTTTGAGACAGAGTCTTGTTATGTAGTTTAGACTAGCCTCGAGCTCACTTTGTAGCCCAGGCTCGCCTTGGCCTTGAGATAATCCTCCTGCCTCAGCCTCCCAAGTGCTGGGATTACAGGCCACCATGCCTGGCTCACCCCTCACTTTTAGGAAAAGATTTTGTATGTACACTGTTCAATAGAAATATAATTCAAACCGTGGACATAATTTAAATTTTTATAGCACTCACATTAGGAAAATAAAAATTGTAAAATTGGTTCTTTTTTTCCTAAAAATGAAACCCAAGGCCTTACATGTTAGGCAAGTGCTCTACCACTGAGCTATATCCTTAGCCCTCTCAATATGTATGTATTTAACCCAATATACATACATACGTATATCTATGTATATTACTATAATTTCAACATGTAACCAGTTGAAAAATTATTAAGATGTTTCACATTCTTATACTAAGTCTTTGAAATCTGGTGGTATATTTTACCAAAAGGTTTTTGAGGCAGGGTCTCTGTGCATTTAAGGCTGGCCTTGAACTAACTATGAAGGCTAGGCTGGTCCTGAACTCATACTGATTCTCCTGCCTTGGCCTCCTACGTGCTGGGATTATAGGCATGTGCCACCATGCCTGTTTTGTATTTTACTTCTATGGCGACACATTTCAGTTGGGGCTAGCCTCATTTTTTGTGCTCAGTAGCCATGTGTGTGGCCTTCATGTTGAATAGCACATGTCTGTGCAGATGTACATGCCCATCTGACCTGCCTGCTGATTCCTCTACTATATGGGTTTGTAGGTGTGTGAGTCACCAGAGAGTGTAGGAGAATTTGCAGTTCCCTGTATTTGAGCAGACACTGGGACCCCCTCCTGTCTTGTTGAAGGAAATAGCACCAAGTGCAACGTGTAGTCACTCAAAGTCACTCAAAATTACTCCGTCACAGGAGTGGTGTGGAGTCCTGTGCCATCTGTGTAGTTAGCTTTTTCTGCATGGACTGTTGTTTCCTCTGAGAGAGGAAGCATGAACTTTAATAGGTCTGCAGTCTCCATATCTCACACTTCCTCTCTGAAGACTCAGCTGACCCAGGGAAGCTTCCGTGGTGGCTGGCATTCATGGTCACCAGACAGAAGGGATGGTCTCATTCCTGGAGTTAGTTATCTGTAGGTGTATGTTCCTTGTTCCCACAGGCATGCACAATGCCGATAGTTGATAAGTTGAAGGAGGCCCTGAAGCCTGGCCGCAAGGACTCAGCTGAGGATGCAGAGCTGGGGAAGCTCCTGGCTGCTTCAGCCAAGAAGGTCCTCTTACAGAAGATTGAGTTTGAACCAGCCAGCAAGAGCTTCTCCTATCAGCTGGAGTCCTTGAAGAGCAAATATGTGCTACTGAACCCTAAGACGGAGGGAGCCAGTCGCCCTAAGAGTGGAGATGAGCCACAGGTCAAGAGACAAGGTACAAGTGTGTAGGCTGCTGGAATAGAGGCCCGTGTATGTGTTAACTGAGTGGATGGACCTAGAAACTGCAGCAGGATATGGTCAGGGAGTTGTACCTTTTACACTGGGCCAATGGGCTTTAGTCATGGATGGCCCAACACAAGGCTAGGAAGAAAGAAATCTATACTTGGAGGTTCCTTGAAACACACTCCCTATCATCCCTTGGGTTTAGAAATAGAGAGCTGGGTGTGGTGCCACATGCCTGTAGTCCCAGCACTTGGGAGGTTGAGGCAGGAAGATTCCTGCAAGTATGAGGCCAGCCTGGGCTACAGTGAATTCAAGGCCAGCCTGGACTACATGTCTCAAAAAGACCTGGACCGTGTCTGGAAAAAAGAAATGGGATGGGCTACATAAGGGTACAGTACGCTGCAGTGCCAGGGCCTGGTTCTTTCCTTTCTTTCCTCTGCGGACCCTTGAATTCTAGACCTAAGCAGTCTGGAATGTCCAGGCATGGCTGGATTTATATGTGGGCTTCTTAGGGGCTTTCAGTCAGTGGGAGCCCATTTACCCTGCAATGGATGGATGCTGTGTTTGAGCTAACTGTGCACCTGGCAGATGATGCCAGATGTCTCTCTGGCCTGCCTGTGCATGGACTGATTTGCCCCTTTTCTCCCCATCTCCTGTTCTCCTTTAGGCAGTGAGCGCTTCTCTGGAAGCAGCAGTGATGGTGTCCCAGCACCACAGAAAGTGCTCTTTCCCACAGAGCGGCTGTCTTTGAGGTGGGAGCGTATTTTTCGAGTTGGTGCGGGGCTGCACAACCTGGGCAACACCTGTTTCTTGAATGCCACAGTACAGTGCCTGACCTACACACCACCTCTGGCCAACTACCTGCTCTCCCGGGAACATGCAAGGAGCTGTGAGTAGGGCTCGGGAGGGCAGGGGAGAGGAAGTAATGTGAGCCAGTGGAACTGGAAACCTCTTTGCTGGGGCACAGCTGGTCCTGTCGGAATCATGGGCATTTGGGAGTGGAGTTGAGGGCACTTGGTAACTGCTAAAACCCAGATTCAAAATGTACCTATTGTGGCATGGGTTCTGCAAGCACATCACTCACGTGAGGCCCTCATCTTCAAACTTTTCTGAAAGTACTTACCCAGACAGAAATTAGGGTTTTCAAAAGATATCTGCACAATATGTATATCCAATTTTGGGGGGAAATTTTAGAAATTTTTAAATTTTTCATACATGTTTTCAGTACATAGTGTTTATATTCCTTGTATGGAGTTGGTACATGTGCATAATGCATCCTAATTCCTTTTTGCCCTTTCCCTCCTTTTCCTCCTAAATCCTCCTATCTCTTGATCTCTTCCCATTTGAGAAAGATGTATGCCTTACTTCCTATTAATGTTTTATGTTGCTCTTTATTTATAATTTATGTTTCTCATAAGAGAAACCACATGATAGTTAAGCTTGTTTGTTTGTTTTTGTCTCTTTTTTTTTGAGACAGGGTCTCCCTATGCAGTTCAGGCTGGCCTTGAGCTCACTTTGTAGCCCAGACTGGTCTCAAACTCAAAACGATCCTCCTGCATCAACCTCCCAAGTGCTGGGGTTATAGGCATGTGCCACCATGCCTGGCTAGTTAAGCTTGTTTATATGTCTCATTTATGTCACTTAACATGGTCTGAGCTACCTTTTCGTACAGATGACTCAAGTTTATAGCAGAATAGTATGCCATTGTGTGTAAATACCACATTTTCTTTATTCTTTCATCTGTTGGTGGATGTATGTGCTGCTAGCTGGATTTAGCTATTATGAATTGTGCTGCTATCAACATGGGTATACCTCTATCTCTTTAATATGATATTGTCTTAGTACTTTTCTCATTGCTGAGACAAAATACCTGACACCCAAAGTTAAGGGAGGAAAAGTTTATTTAGCTCACAGTTTGTAGAGGTTTTAGTCCATAATTGGCTGGCTCTAAG